CTCACCGGCCCGCCCCCGCCCTGGCCAGCGCCGCTTCCGCGAAAGCTCCGAGAGCCGCGGGGTGGGGTGAGGGAGCGGGAGGTGGGGGGTGGGGAGGCTGGGGTGTAGAGTGGACCGAGTCGCGGCCTCGGACTCGAGGATGGGCCACCTGCGTGACATCCCTAAATCTCCGACGGGGCTCAGGGCGCGTGGGAGGCCACGGCTGGCCTTGGGGACAAAATTTTGTTCAACTCGCTTGGCCGCACGAAGCACCCGCGGGGCCCGGGCCAGGGGAGTTGGAGTCAGGCCGCGTCCCCGGGGACCCAAATCGTGGACACTCTCGTGACGGGTGGGGAGCGCCTGGGAGCGGAGCCTCGCGTGGCCGCCAAGCTCAGACAGGGGGTCACAGGACCGCTCCACATTTCTTAGATGTCTGTGTGAGGTTGACAAGTGGCTTACGCTCTGGGTCTGGGGGCTTCCCCACGACCTCGTTCCTGGCTCTCCTCTGCTCACACCCCCCCACCCAAGCTCTGAGACTGTGGGGACCTGGCAACGTCCACAGGGAATGACAGCCCCCACCCCGTGCTGGCGGGCCGGGCGGGGACTTCTCGGAGGCGGCCCCAGCTGAAAGAGTCTTTCCAGCCAGCGAAGCCGGCTGATTCCGGGCAGACGGCGCCTCCGGGGCTGGACGCTCCCTGCGGCCCAGCGGGAGGGGTGGAGTGCGCCTCGTTTCCGAGGGGGCTCAGGGGGTCAGCCCTTCCGAGCTTACCGAGCGCCTTCCCATCCCGGAGGCGCGTGTGCACGCCTTCGTGCGTTCGCGTGTGCTTGTCTGGGTGGGTTCGTGTGTCCATGTCTGTGTATGTGTCTGCTTCCTGGGCCCCATGCACCCCAGCTCATCCCACTTCTTGGCTGGTGGCCTGAGGGAGGAGTCCCAGACCAGGGGAGGGTGGACGGCTTCGCACCGGCGGAGCTCTGCAGGAGGGTCCCTTACTCATAGTCACCCCCCCTCCCCCGCACATGGTCGCGCCCATTTTCTGGGGAGCAGAGCTCGATTCTCAGATTCTGGGGGCCCGGACCAGGACCTGAGCCGCTAGCCCTCTGGGATGGTCAGCCAAAGGCGCTTCGGAGGTCGCCCATTCCGAGTTCCCACTGCACAGGGGAGGAAACCGAGGTGCCGAGACCCCGAGGTCGGGCTCCAGGGGACAGGGCCAGCCCAGGCCTGAGCTTCGGTGGAGCGGCCCCGCTGACGACCCGACACCACATCCATCCCCGCATTCTGCAGCCTCTGACGGGGCTCGTGGCCGGACCGACGGCGAGCACGGGCCCCGGCCCGGCGGCTCCAACCCGGAGGGACCCCAGGCAGCTCCGCGCAGCTCCAGGGCGCGGTGGAAGAAGCCGGCTTATTGAGGCCCTTTTGAGAAACCACCATCTCCTCTCGCCCCCTCTGCCGGGGCTCCCAGTGGTTTGCGTTCTTTCGGCCTCTCAGCCTTGAACCCTCCGCGGGCCAGGGGCTGCGAGCCGGCGCGCCCTTCGGCCTCCGCTTCCCGGCGCCAGAGGGACCCCGCGGTGCGCACGCGGCCCGGGGCTGTGCGGGGCTCCCGCCCCCAGCGGCCCGGCTCGCCCACCACGGAGCGCCAAAGCCCGCGGCGGCTCACGGCCTGGCGCCGGGCGGACGGAGGGAGGGAGCGAGCCACCAGTGTCCCCCCTCACGTATGCACCCCGAGCGCCCCAGGCTAATACGCGACTTTCGTGGAATTACCCGCGCGAGGGGCGTGACGGCCTATGTCCCCAACTCCCAACCCGAGACAGACTAGGGGGTCCTTCCCCGCCGCCAGAGCTGCGACCAGTCGGAGCCGGTTCCCGCGGAGCCCCGGGGGCGAGGCTATTCGGGGCGGAGAGGGCGGGGCGCAGCGGGGGGCACGTGGGCGCGCGAGCGGAACCCGGCGGGGCCCGGGCAGACTTCGTGGACAGAGCAGCATCCCTTGGCCGGACCTCGCGTCCTGAGTCCCCCGGAGCGGCCGGGGCTGCCCGTGCGCAAGGCGGGGACCGGCTTTTACCCCCAGGAGAGGAGACCTCGGAGTTCGGGTGCCGTGTCAGAAGGGGAGGAGGGGCCCAGGGGCAGCGGGATCTCTGGGAGGGAAGTGTGGAGCCCCAGGGCCAAGGGACGGCGGTCGAAGAGCCGGGACCCTTTGGTCCAGCAGCGACCTCGGTGGAGCTCTCCGTCCGCCAGGAGGCGCTGTGCCGACTCCTGTGCGCCGCTCACACGCGCCGAGGCCGCGCTCCGCGCCCCTCTGCCCTCCTCCAGCCCCCGCAGGCGCTTCCGTCTAGGCCTGTTTGCGACTCCCTGTCCTGCCCCCGTGCTCGGGAGCTGAGGGCGGCGGGGAGGCTAGGGAGACGAATGAACAAAACCCTCAGCCAAGGAACCCCAGGCTGCCTAGCCACCGGGTCAGAAGGCGGGCGGATGCAGGGGCAGCCTCGTGTGCGTGGACACGGTTGGTCCACACCCCGGAGGAGGAAGTCCTGTAAATCCTGGCACCTGGAGTTGGGGAGAGACAGCAGTGCCTCATGGCGATGCGGTACCCCCACCTTAAGAGGCGGTAGATGTAAGTGACCTCAAAAGCGTAGGTGACGCTAAAATGTAATAAAAATAATTAGGAAGTGAAGCGTTCTGAGTGTATCATCTTAGTTCTTAATATAATTAATTTTATAATAAGTTCAGATGATTCCAATTTTAATGATGGCTGTGCTTAACAATCAGCTTTCAAATTCCTGAAAATGTAGCAACCGGCTGGAGCCAGCTCAGCACCCCAACGGTGGAAGACAATGTGCAGGCCTTCCGAGGTGATGCTGGGGGAGCCCACGTGTGAGGGGCAGGTAGAGGGGGCCGTGGGAAGCATGGAGACGCCCCAGCTGTGGCCTGCGGGGTGCGGCCAGCAGGCGTGGGAAGGCTAAACTCTGCGCTGAGGATGGGCAGTGCCCTCTGAGGGTCTTTGCCCAGTGGCAGTAGGGCACCCGCCCGCGAGGATGCCCGAGGCTGTCCTCGTCCAGGGGGAGGCCAAGGCCACCAGCTGGTCTAGAACGTCCACCTGAGCAGGAAGGAGCTCCCGTCGGGGTGGGTAATGGGGGGTATTGGGTGGGTGCTGGGAGGATCTGGAAGGACCTGGGAGGACCGGGGGGGAACCATGGACGGAGCGCAGGGCACACACACCACTTGGCTCTGAGCTTGCCAGCATGAGGGTCCTTGCCTTTTGCAATAGCTTCCCCTGCAGGGGAGGGGAGGGGGCAGGAGCAGAGGGGTGTGGTGGGACCGAGGCAGGGGACCGCTGCTTGGGAAAGACATGGCAGGAGTCCTCAGTGACCCAGCTCTGGAGCACAGGTGGGCCCCTCAGTTGAGAATCGAATCCATGCTCGGGGGGACGTGCCACGGGCCCCTGCCGGGTGAGCTGGGGTCTCACTAGGATGGGAGGACGCTTGGCAGTAACGTAAGGGGCTGGCATTTTAAATGTGCGGGGACACTTCCCACAACATCCCCAAGCAGTATTTTGCTGTCGGGTCTGTGTTTTCGGCAGACCCTTCCCCGCCCCCCACCCACACCCTGTGCTGGCCGCCTTCAGTGTCTCCTTCTGGGTGCTGCTTTCTTGGATGGGGTGTTCAACTTGTGGCGGTTCATTGGGCTTCCCGGCGTGATCTGCACGTTTCTGTGTGTGCTTACGCACCTCGCATGAGGTACTGGGGAGGGCACAGTACCCACATATTGTCCCAGAGCCGAGGAGCCGGGTTTTTGGCTGTCACCAGGTAAGAATCAACAGCGACCTCTGGCAGCCAGGCCCTCAGGATGGAAACAGTGTATGACCCTCCTCCCGCCATGTGAGACACCCCTGGGCCCAAGGGGGTGGGTGAGGCCACTCTGACAGCAGCAAGCCCAGTGGCGCCTCAGCCACCTCTGCCTGGAATGGTTCTCCTGACAGGCTCCACCCACCCGCTCTGGCGTGACAGGGTGCAGGCCTCCTGCTGCCCGGCTCTGCTGGTGGAGGGGCCCTGCCCAAGCTGTCCCCTGGCTTTCTCGGACACCCCTGCGGTCATAGCCCTATCTTACAAACAAGGACTCGTGCCTTTTCAAAGCCCTGGCCACGTTCAGTCATTTACCTTCTTAAAGCATGGCTGGGCTAGTGTCCTCACTCGCGAGATGGGAAACCACGGCAGGCCCAGAGCAGCCAAGGTCATCATACGTCCAGCGAAGGCAGAGCTGACGGGTGGGCCCTGGCCTGAGCTCCCACCTAGCCTTCTCTCCACCCAGCACGGAGCCCCCACTGTGAGGGAAGGAGCGTTCAGGGGGCCGGGGCTGGGTGGCAGAGAGGAGTCTGGAGGACGGACAGTGGCACCTGTGCCTGGCGGGGCAGGCAGATCAGGCCAGGTCCTCGGACCCCGAGCTGAGGCTCTCCGCCCCAGAGCGCATGTGTCCGGTGGCAGGAGGGGCCTCAGGCCAGGATGGGCTCGGCCTCGGCGACTGGCAGTCACAGGGGCGTCTCCTGAGGATGGGACACCAGAGGGGGCTTGAAGCGGGGGCAGGGCTGGCCACCAATGCCAAGAGTGGAGAGGGCGTGAGTGGGGGCAGGGCGTCTCTCACCTTTGGGGTAAAGTGCAAAGGTCGGGGAGGCGGTGAGGATGACGGCCGTCACTCTTCCTCGCCCTTCTGACGCCCTTCTGACGCTCGTAAGTGGGAAAGCTAAGTGCAAAGGTCGGGGAGGCGGTGAGGATGACGGCTGTCACTCTTCCTCGCCCTTCTGACGCTCGTAAGTGGGAAAGCTGGGTCTGGAGCCCCCACCCCGAGAACTCCAGCTCCCAGTCACTTGGCTCGCTCCTCCAAGGCGACGGCATGCGGCCGGTGCGGTGGACGCTGGGGCTGCCGGCCCACTCTGTCCCTGCCCATCAGTTTTACCCTGGAGAGGGCAGGTGAAGTGAAAGTCGAGTGGAGGCCGTGACAACACTTGGGAACCCAAACGGTGTTTACCGGCCTGGGGCCACAGCCGTCACAAGGTCTGCGCTTGGCCATGTCGCTCACGCCCGGGACCCTGGGACGGAGGAGCAGGGGCCCCTTGCAGCAGGGAGCAGGCCCCTCACAGCCCCCGCACAGCCCCAGGCTGGCACCAGGGCCCCTGGGGGCTGCCAGTCACCAGGAGCACGATGGAATCAGGGCCTCGGAAGTCTGTGTTTGGCGAGGTGTCTTCACACAGCTGACCGCGTCTGGTCTGGCAGGGACCGGGGAGGTGGGCACGGCGGGCTCCTCCTGCTTGATGTCACTGGTTCCGCAGACCAGACGATCGAGGCTCTGTACGTTCTAGTGTCTTAGCCTGAGTGGCTAATTCAAGGAAAGCAAGACGCGATCTTGAGTTCCCATCCACTCATTCACTCACTCACTCATTCACTCACTCACTCACTCATTCACTCACTCATTCACTCACTGACTCACTCATTCACTCACTCACTCATTCAGCAGATGTTCTTCCAGCACCTTCCGTTGCCATCAGGGGCTCCCCCAGACAGTGGAGACATGAGAGCTTTCCCACGTCTGTTTTTCAGGCCAATATTTAGAATCTTCTTGGTTTTAAGTGGGAACTTCACGCCCTTTTCTTAAAGCACCAGCTGCACTAAGGTTCCTTTAAGATGGCGTCTGGCTGGGCCTGAAGCGCAAACCCTGGCTGAGCTACTGTTCCCCAGACGGGGTCTCCTGGTGCTTCTCGGAGAGCTCTCTGGGCCCACCCCATTGACCGTGTCCACGTCGGGTAGTGCCGCGGGCTCCTCTGAGGCCAAGCGGCCTGGCGTGCGGGCTCTGGGGCCATGGCCTCGGGCCCAACGGGAGATCTGGCTGAGATGCGAGGATGACATCGGCTGGCACGGGGAAGGCGCCTGGCGGAGGCAGGCGGGGAGCCCACGCCCAGCGGCGGTGGCAGTTACTGCTGCTACAGCGATGCGCCGTTGGCTGGACTGGGCCCGGCCAGGGGTGCCCAGGCGGAGGGAAGTCAGCGGGCAGGTGGGAGGCGGGAGCCGCCTCTGGGTGGGGGCTGGGCTGTGCAGCCGCCTCTTTTTGTGCCGTGGTTCAGGGTCCTGCGGGGTGTGGGGATGAGGGGTTGCTGCTGGGAGGGGAGTGAGTGTGTGCGTGTGTGTGTGCGTGTGTGTGCGGCAGAGAGAGAGGGAGAGAAACCTTAAACCATTCACGCTGCTGCAAAGCAAGCAAGCACGCAGGCACGAGGCTCTCCTGTCGGAGGCCACACAGCCCCTTTTCTGAGAAGATTTTCATTTCCTGTTCCATTCTGTGCTCCGCACAGGGACAACCCAAAGCATTCTGGGAGGCAGGGCTGCAGCAGGAAGCGGGCAGAGCCAGCCCAGACCCTCCCACCCATCCCTGTCTCTGGACCTGCCTCATTTGCTGAGGTCGCTGGGGCAGGGTCCCCGAGGCAGTCACGGCTCAGCCTGAACCGTGACTGTCCCTGCTGCTCAGAGAGGAGCCTGGGGAGCTCGTCACCGGCTGACCTTCCAGGACGGACCCCGCCAGCCGACGGAGGTGCATGTCACACTCCACAGCCCCTCCTGCCACCCCTCGCTCCACGTCCCGCGGGGCGAGAGGTGAGGCTCCATTCTCATCTGTTCCTGCCCCTGCTGTTTACTCAGTGCCGCCCCCGGGCCAGGATGGTACTGGGCACACGGGGTGGCGTGTCCCCGTCCTCACGCAGGGGAAGTCGACCCAAACGCGGGATTCTTGCAGTGTGAGGTGCCGTGGCAGGGAGCGTACCCGTCACCTCTCGGCCTCACCTCTTACTGTGGCCACTGCTCGGTGTCAGGCCTGCGTGGGCTGCGTCCAGCTCCCCACAGGTGCGGCAAGGGGGCCCTCCTTCCCCACGGCCCTGGGGCACCTGCACACTCATGTGCACACCCTAGAAGTGGCATGGGGGCGGACTGGACCAATAGTGTGAAGAGCGATGGACTCACCCCACCCCAGGCAGAGGGTCCTCGGTGGGTCACGAGCCTGCTCGGGAGATCCCAGGGCGTGGGCTAGCTGCCCCCAGCAGTGGCCAAGGCCATCACTCAGCCTTGCGTCCCCTGTCTCTGCTGTATCCCCTCACAGATTACCCACCTACGAGCCGCGGGCTCTGCTGTGGGGGTCACCCAGCTACCTCAGGGACATCCGGGAGGCACACAGCAGCAGGGTCCTGACCGAGGCTGGGGCCATGGAGAGCCCGCCCAAGGAAGTGACATTTAAGCTGTGCTCTGAAGCAGGATGGGCGCTCGTCTGGGCAAGGAGGGATTGCAGGGGAGGAGAGGAGCACGTGGAAGTCCCCGCGGCAGCCCGGGGCCTGAGCTGGAGCAGAGCGTGGCATGCGCCAGGGGCACTAGAGGGCCAAGACTCCACGAGGGACGTGGGAGCCTCGGAAGGGTTTGGAGCAGGGGACTATTTCAGAAAAAGTCTTCTGGACGCTCAGTGGAGATCGGATCCAGCCCTGGCACCAGAGGGGGCTGGGAGGCCAATAGGAGGCTGACCTGGTGACCGGGTCGGCTGAGGGCTGGGAACAAAAGTGTGCGTGGCAGGAAGAATCCCCTGAGCCACACTGCGTGTGGACTCGGCGTCCATTCGGCGTGAATCCCAAGGCTGCCCGCGCGTCCTCACGGACCAGCAGCCCTGCGTGCCCTCCACAGGCCCTGACAGCCCTGCTGCCCTTGGCCTCTGTCCCCTACTCTTTAGTCAGTCTGGGGACGTGCCCGACATCCGCGCTTGGTGGACGCCTCCCAGCTCCAGCCAGCTGTCTCATAGCTGCCACCCAGGAAGCGGCAGTGGAGGAGCCAGAGCAGTGTTGCCCCAGGGGGCCCCCGGGCGGCCGGCTGGGGCAGTGGGGGGTGCCGACCAGACAGAGATATGGGCAACTGCCATTCCCAATGGGCGAGCCTCATCGCGGCCCCCAGCTGGAGGTGCCCGGCCCGCGGGCTGTTCCTGTGAGTGAGGACACCTGGGGGAGGTCGGAGCCTGCTTCGAAGACACGTGCTGCCTTTTGCTGCGGCCTCTGGCATCCGGCATCTATCTGGCTTGCAGGCCCCAATGCTCCCCGCGGGGCCTCGCGTGTGTGCCCCGCCGCCCCCCACATCCTCTCCCAGCTCCTCGTCCTTTGATCTCGGCCTCTCCCTTGCAGTGTTTGGGTCTGAGAAGTCCCCGTTCCTCCCATTTACAGCTGCAGTAACGAAAACGCCCGCTTTCCACTCACTGGGCCCCAGCAGCATGACAGAGACGCGGGTCCCTTTGTTGCAAATAATTAATTTGGTTCCATATTGCATAACATCCTAAAAAGCTTTCCGGGGCGGGCTCCCGCCGCCGGACACTGCGATCTCATCAATATTGCATTGCATCGGGCACTACTGTTCTGCGGTTTCATTAAAAATTTAATTTGTGGTTTAAATCTGCAGTGTTTCCTTTAGAAGGATGGCGGGGGACACAACGGGGGGCACGGGCTTCGGGGTGAGGGGTGAGCGGACCTGGTGGGGGATCCCTCGCCCCAGGGGATGGAGGGGGCCTTCCCAGCCCGGGGCCTCTCCGATTGGCTGCTTGCCGTCAGCCAGGGCTCTCCGGGAGCTGGAGGGAGGGTGACTGGACCATTCACAGAAAACAGCTCTCAGGGGCAAGTGCGGGGCTTCCCTTCCTGGCGGGCAGCTCCCTGGAACCCGCACGCTGAAGGGGGGCCAGGGGAGGCCTCCACCGGACACTCCGTCCCTGTGCCCCTCCAGAACCCCACACGGCCCGAGACCACAGCCACAACCCCGCGCCTCGCTCCTGAGCCAGGTCACCCCGCCAGCCCAGGAAGGGGTGCGAGGACCCCCGGGAGAGTGAGGGAAGGGCCTCGCCGCACAGCCTATGTCACGGGCACCTCATGTGGCCCCGGGGCAGGTGGCACTTGGTGACAGTTAAGAGTCCATGAGACCCTTGCTGGGGATCGCTGGGGGCAGAAAGGCTGAGTTGGCCTCATCTCTTCACCTAGACCTCGCTCTCCGCCGAGGGGGCCGGGAAGGAGCCACCGTCACTGCAGCCCACAGACCGTCCCCTCCCCCCGCTGCAGGAGTTCATTTTGGGGGAGATGGCTGGGGGTGGGGGCAGTTGGGCTCCCCTTTCCAGGGGAGGAGGAGGGGCCAAGTGAGAGCTCTAGTTCTGGTTGGGAGGGAGGAGAAATGGGGGGAGGGGAGGAGGCGCGGCCAGCTGGGGGGACACTGGGCTGGCCGTGCTGGCTCTGCAGTCTCCATGGGCCCCGGCGGGGCAGGAATCTGCAGCCCCCACTAGCCTCTCACATTGTTCCTGTGTGATTAAGTTGAGCCTCCTGGGGCCAGCTGGAGAGAGAGGACAAATTGCTTCGTAAAATCGATTTGCTGCCATAGCATTTTGGTTCGCCCAGGATGCGCCCACAGCGTGAGGGGCGTTTGCCTCCCTGCGTCGGCGCCCCCTGCCCCCGCACGCGCTCTCGCCCGCCACGTGCACACAGGTCACGAGACACACGACCCGCACACGGAGTGCCCACGTCCCGGGTGCTGGGGACACAGCTGTGATGGGGAGACGAGGCTCCGAGGGGCGGGCCAGACCGGGAGCAAGTCCTGCAAAGCAGTGGGCAGTGGTGGGCGCACAGGGCCGTGGCTCCGGTCTCCTCTGCGTCAGGGCGGGCCACCAGAGGCGCCAGGCGAGTGCCCTCGGCCTTGGGAGCCCCATCCCATCCCAGTGTGGGAGGCCTGGGCATCCTGGGGCTTGGGCGAGGGGCCTCAGCAGGGGGGCTTCTGCTGCCTCGACCTTGGCACCCTGTCCCCAGGGCCCCTGCAGCTCTCGGAGGCATCGGCAGAGCCCCCCGTGCCTTGGTGGAGAAGCGGCTTTGCCCTCCCCAGGGCTGGTCCCTCCAGAGCAGAGTCGGCCTCCGAGGCCAGCGACCTGCCCACGGGCCTCTCCAGTGTCCTTAGACGCAGACAAGTGGCAGTGACGACCGTCCTCGTCTACACAGACTCGCACTCTGTCACCTGGGGCCGAGGCCTCCCGTGG